GAGGAAGAAGTACAAAGTAAAGAAACACAATAAAAGAACACGAGAAAGAACTCTGCAGGGGATCGAAAGGGAAATTGAAGAGAAAGAGTATACCCAACGGGTTTTGGTTTTGGTTTTTCATTGATGCAGGCAAAAGGACATTCCTTGACACAAGATTTTTTTTTTTCATTTTTTTCCCCTTGATTCTATTACTTACATACTTACATATACCTAATCTGGGTAATGTTTGATGAGTGAGCATGATTACAGAAACACGGAGTAGGGCAATGGACGGCCGTACTACTATATACTATTGGGAGATAGAGATAAGTTCAAATTCAGGCAGGCTGCTGAACAGGATATCGAAATGGAAACGGGACAAAGGTTGGGAAATTGGAATGGCTATGGATAAGAACCAAGACTGCATTAGTAGCGGGCCGATTCAACATGTGGGATGGTCACACTGGTGCATTGACATTTATCCATGTGTAAATTTAGCTTACTACTTGCTTGTTCAACCCACTCACAAATTCTCAATATCTTCGTGGCGTCTCTGTTGCATCCCATAAGAGCAGTCAACTTATAAGCAAGCAGCAACAAACATCTTCATCTGTACACTACACGATATAGATCCACATTGTATTATCATGCTATCATTCATTGTTGATCTTCTCCCGATTTATTATTCTGTCATATGATGTGAATTTGGACAAGGCTTGAAAATGGAGGTCATGCAAATGAATGATTTGTGTTCTTGAATATGTCTAGCTGCCTTCTCCATGCCTTTCTTGGTTGAGCATAAGGTAATGGTCGCAGCTAGAGCTTCCCACTTGTCGAAGCTGAAAATATAGAAGAGGTAGGTACCTGGGCATGAAAGGATGGGAAGATGTTAAGAAATTTGATCAAGACGGAAGCAAATAATATAACAAACTGTTGACGTCTTGCACAATGCGCTACTCCTCATCAACCAGAGACTAGCCCATGACCAATTGATTCAATAGTCCACACAAGTCTGCATCCCGTTTTCTTTTTCATCCCCGGGATACATATTCCTACCTCTTATCAACTTTACGCAGGGTATATAGTTTACAAGTTCAATCACAAGTCATCAGAAAGCGATAACAAGCTACGTAGCTCAGGGGAAGAGCGCCGGGCTCATAACCCGGAGGGCCTTGGATCGAAACCAAGCGTAGCTAATTCAGCATCTTCATTTTTGCAGCCTTTTGGTTTTGTTTTCTGATGAAGTCGGACTTTTCTGATTTGAGGGATGGGGTTTTTGAGACGGATTTTTCGGGGTGCACGAGGAGTTGGTGGTGGTTTGCAGGTTTTGGGACTCGATTGGAAAGGGGGGGAAGGATATAAGGGTACTGAGGACCGGGTTTTGGGGCTTGACTCTGTAGTTGGTGAAATCCTCTGTGCTGCCTGATTATTCACCTCTCTCTATCTAGGTGGGTGTGTTGAGATGAAGATTGAATATTTGTCGTTTGTGTGAATATCGTGATTCAATGTCATGGTTTTGTTTCATGCGTGAGTTGTGTTGAATCGTTCTTCTTCTCTTGCTTCAATCATCATCCTTCCCCCCCCCCATACTACATATACCACATCCTAATTCAAAGCACCATCAACAAGGCGGCATATGAATTCCTTCCATTCATCCTAGCCTCCTTTTACCATCACATTAGGTCTCGACTTCTTGTGGATCACACATCTTCCCCCAATGATTGAGCAACGTCAAGCTAAAGGGGACAGTGAGTGTTTGTTTTCAAAGTGTTGTTGGTCATCACTTGCATTCATTATTTCCACCGGTACTTGGCGGCTTCAAGCTCTATCATCCATACCTCATTCTCTTGAATTTCCCATCTAGTACCTGTTCCGTTCTTGCATACTGGTTGCGATACACTATTACCCTAAATTCATTTAGCACGAGCATTCAACCTCAGATGGAAAATGGGTCGCTTTGTAGAACTAGCAGACAGTTCCAGCTATGCATTCATTATCATAAACCTGTATCGCAACGCCAAACTAACCCAATAAACAAACAGAGACAGTGTCCTCCACACAGCACAACACAGAAACAACAAGAACCCTCGATGCCTTGAGTCCAAAAGATGGTCCTTCAACTAGCTTGCATTCGTGGCTCCTCGCTCTACCACTGCATGCTCTTCTTCTTGCTCAGTTTCCTATTGTTCGGATCCAGCACGTTCTGGAAAAACGAGCTCACAGATGCCTGCGTCGAAGCGTACGGTCGTCCGTTCGGTCTGGCCCCTGAGCTTGATCCCGGTTGGAGGTGTGAGTTGTTATTTGCATTGCTGCTGCTGCCGATGCCATTGCCGTTCGAGTTGTTGCCGCTATTGCCACCATTGATCCCCGTCCGAAACAGACTCGTCAACGAAGAGCTGTTGAAAGGCCCCAATGCACCACCAGCTCCTGCTCCTCCTCCTCCAGCTGACCCAAAACTCAAACTCATCGGTCTCCGCGGCGGCGGCGACGCAACACCAGACTGTTGTCGCTGCGGCACAGGAGAAGGTACTGGCCTCGGCGGCTGCGGCGGCGGCGTAGCCCCCGCACGAGACGGTGTGGACTGCCCCTGATTCCCATACAGCTGCCGTAGCCTCTCCGTCTCACGATCGACCTCAGCCTGCCGCCGGCGCCGCTCCTGCTCGTCCTCAAGCTTGAGCATCTCCTCAAGGTGGCGGCGCTCCTCGGCCTCGCGGCGTTGTCGTTCGCGCGCTTGGCGCTTCAGCTGCTCGTCGTCTTCCTTCTTCATTTGCTTCATGAGCTTGAGCGTTTCCGCGTCGATGGCGTGTGATTTTGTCGTCGAGGCGGCTGTTGCGTTTGCTGCCGTAGTTGTAGTGGGAGGAGGAGTAAAAGGGTGAAAATAACTAGGGGGTGCCGCCCCAGTTGGGCCGATTGCACCAGACATGGCCAGCGGTGAGCTCGTCGTCCGCGCACGCGCGGCAGGTCCGTTCCCACCACCCGGCAGGGAAGGCGCCGGCGACGGCGTAGGAGAAGAAGAAGAAGAAGTCGTCGTCGTAGGCATCGTCATTGTCCTCGAGTTCTTGCGCTTTCCGCTCGCGGCCGTAACAGCGCTCCCACTATGGCCCGTGTTGAAGAGGTCCCCCCTCTTTTCTGGCGCAAGATACAGGTCGCGAATGACCTCTGCGCCCAGCACCAGCACAATGTCGAGTCCTTTCCGGTCCTCCATCTCGACGCGCTGCAGGTTCGGCTCGTACACGGTGATGGTTGTCTCGCGGCCCATTTTGAAGAGCGCGACGGTAATATCTGGCTCTTTACTCTTGTGCTTGCCGAGGCTCTTGCCGACGTTGTAGCAGGTCATATCCTTGGTTAGGCGGCCCTCGCGCTTCCACTTGAACATGTTGCGGGGGCGGAAGTCGGCGGCCGTCTTGATGGCTGAGGTGCCAGTGGCTGCGCCATCGCTGCCGCCCGTGCCGTTGGTAGCCCCCGGGCTGGCGCGGTCGGCTTGTCGGTCGAGTTGCGACGGCGTGGGCATCTTGAAGCTCTGCGAGAGCATTTCGAATTCCCAGCTTTCGGTGCGCGTGAGGGAGCTGGGCGAGTAGCGCACGAGAACCGTCTGGTCTGGATCGTAGAGCTGGATGGTGAAGGTGTCGGGGATGATGGGCGTCTGCTGCGAGGCTATGGCCGGCTGTCCCGGGTGCTGGGCGGCGCGAAGCTCGGCGGCTGACAGACTGGGCTGCTGCCAGTCCGGGGCCACGACGACCTCTGCGTAGACGACATCGGCGGCGTAGGGATCCTTGAGCGCAACGGCGTAGTGGCCGGCCGCGGCGGGAACGGTGCTCGGGTGGGCGCGCTCAAAGACGTACTCGGCCGCGGGCTCGGAGCCGTGCTGGGAAAAGTAGACGGCGGCGGCGAGCGGCGACTCGGGCCGCTGCTTGAACTGGAAGGTGGGCAGGTTCTCGTCGAGCATGGCGGAAGACGGTCTGGTGAGATGAAGAGGGAAAAGAGCGTGTAGGTAAAACAGATCAGGGCTCGAGTTCAGCGAGCAAAACCAGACAAGAGGCGGGCGCGTCCATCCATGTGCGGGTTTCCGGATCGAGGCAAGGCGAGGCAAGGCGAGGCAGTCGCCCGAGTTTGAGCTTTGTTTTCTTCTGTCAAGGGAACTTGCTGTCGTTGCAGATCGTTCGAGAACGGCTCACTAGCAGAGTAGAGTCTTGGAGGAGACCAGAAGAGAGCGAGACGAAGTCGACCGGGCAAAGGCAGTAGAATTCCTGTTGCTGTTCCTGTTCCTGTTGCTGTTGCTGTTCGTCAGTGCCCTTGCGGCTGTCACAGCCCTGTGGAGCAAATGCGAGCAAGCGCCGTGAGGACTGATTCGGATCCTTGGAGCGATTCTTTTCGAGACATGGGTCAAAAGCGTGTGTGTTATTGTGGCGGATATCAGGAGGCAAAAGAGCGCATGAACAGGCCCGCAGCCAGGCAGTCAGTCAGCCAGAATGAACGAACGAACACGCATGCATAAAACACGAAAAAGACTGGAGGACAAGCAACGCGCGTGGCAGTGAAATCAGCCCCAAGCAGGCTCGTCAGCTGGGGCTAAGAGACTGGTGCGGAAGTGATATATTGGGGGTGAAACACTGACAGAGAAGTGATGGGAAACGGGGACAAGAATCAGAGGGACGTCATCCACGACCCAGGACCCCTGCCTTGGGCCTGGTGCCCCTCAGCACACGCCAAGCCCACTTCCGCTGGAACAGCCGCCTGGGTGGCTTGGACAGGCCTGAAGGAGCCAATCACTGGCGCTATCGGTGGGCTTGTCAGGCCTGCCCAGCTGGGCCGCCAGGGCTGTGCATCCGCTGCCCGGGACGCCCTAGACGTCTGCGAGTCTCCAAGGGCACAGCCCAACAACCCCAACCCTAGCTCTCATTTCCCACCACCAAAAAATCTCATCTCACTCCACCAAAACTTGACTATCGCCACTCTCACCACTCTCACCCACCACCACCCTCAAAACACCAAAAATGGAAGCCGAAGAGGCTCACGATAGATGGACACATAGGGAATCGAACCCTAGACCTCTCCCAATCCTGTTTTCCAGTGCTAAGGGAGTGTTATACCACTAAACCATGCGCCCGTCCGATTGTTGAAATGCGTTGTGGGTCTTTTATTATAAATGCCCACTTTGTGCGGCTCAGTGAAAATTCTTTCCCTTGCTTGGCGTGACCGACCGTCTGTGTACACACAGTGCTCATTTGGCCCCGTCCTGGGAATAGCTGGTTGTCTGTTTTAGAGCCGGTATTTCCGTTTGAGCACGACGAGGGCACCAAAGTCGAGACCCAAGCCACCAGCAAATGAGAAGGGCAAGCAGGAAACGTTGCTGTGCTTGTAGTGCTCAGAAACATGACACTCGAGATGAACAGCAGAGGAGCTACCGCCTCAGATATCGTAAACCTGTGAAAGCTATTAGTATAAGCAGTAGTATTAATATAGTAGATAATATACCGTATATATTACCTTTGCGTGTAGTTAGTTGTAAGGGCCAAAGTATGTAATGATGAGTTGGTTTGAGTTTACGTTGTTGTTGTATAGCAGCACCCCTCCAAGATCAACATCCGTCACACAAGCCCAAACAAAACACATCTATATGCCTCCACCCCCGTCAAGTGGATACTGATCCATCGCCATGTAATCCAGCAAATCCATCCCACCGACATTGATGCCCTCCGCCGACATGCCTACGCCACTGTCTCCAGGCCCGGCAACATTCTGAAAGAATGCCGGCCCTGCTGGCAAAAACCACAAGTCGGTCGATGGGCCTCCGCTCGCCCAGTCCGAACCATCACCACCAAATAGATCCACCATGGCCGCCGTTGCCGACGGGCCACTGTTGTTGTTTCCATGCCCACTGTTGCTCACGCCACCGCTGTGACCTCCGTTGCTATTGTGACCGTTATCAAGGTTGCTCGACCCATTCATTCCCAAAATCCCCCCAGCAGGGGTTGCAGGACCGCCGGTCCCAAACCCAGTAGGAACGGCAAAGTTGCTGGGCATATCGAATGGGGTGGCAGAGATGTTGGCTGGCGTCACGGCGCGTTCTATACATGCCACAAACAAAAAAAGAAAAATCAGCACACACACACTATACTTGTAGCAAAAAAAAACACAGAACCAACAACTTACCAGGCGCGTGGATCCTCGGCCAGCCCTGTTCATGTGCAGCACCAAGACCCAACAGCCCGCCGTGCTGCTGTGCCAGATGCTGTGCACCCATCGCATCCGCCGAGCCATCCCCCAACGACAGGACAATCTGCCCTTGGCCACCATTGCCCTGGCCATGTCCTTGCCCCTGGCCATTCTGTCCGCCCGCCACCGGATTTGCCACATAAATGAAGCGATTCCTTAGTCTCATGGTCAAATTCTCCAACAAATCCGCAAACCGGATCCCCAAGTGCACATCGTCAACGATACATGTCCGCAGCGCCTCGACCGTCGCGTCCATGAGCCGGATCGACACCTCCACGTCGTGCCGCGTGGCTCCCAATGCAAACGTCTTGAGCAAGAACATGGCGCCGCTAATGATGCGGAAATACGTCCGCACCGGAGCGTGCTTGAGGTAGTCATCAGGCAGCAGGCCTTCCACCACTGTACGCAACAAGTTGCGGCTGCCCTCGACCACCTCGCGAATGTATTCCTGGTCGGCAGCACTGACACCGCCAATGTTGCCAATCGGCATCTTTCCGTAAATATCCTGCGTTTTGGGGCTGAGTTGACCAATGCCCCCCGGCATAGAACCATAATTTATTGACGGAGAAGACGATGAAGACTCTGATGCTGCTGCTGCTGCTGTCGCGGCAGTACCGGAATTGTTAGTAGATAGCCCAGCAGCACCGCCACCTTGCTGCTGCGGCGGCGGCGGCTGCTGCTGCTGCTGCTGCTGCTGCGACTGACCCGAAGCAATAGTTGCACACCGTTCGACAACGGCCTGCAATGACAGAGAATTGACATAAATGCGTACGTACTCGTACTCTATTGTCAGAATGTGGCGAATGTACGGCGGCAGCTGGTAGCGCTCAAACTGAATGCGCCAATCGTGCAGCATGGGCTGAAAGTCCTTGAGCAGCTCCACATACCGGTCTGTCTGGATGATATCCGTAGTGTGCTTGCGCGACTTGAAGAGGCGCTCATTGCCATTGTGCATGGCATTGCTAATGCCCGCCCAGCAATGGATGATGGCATCGTCTAGCTCTAGATTAGGTATGTAATTGAAAGGAGCAACAGCAGAAGAAGAAAGCGATGAAATATTAGTACCGGGAGTGGTCCCCTCCAGCCCTATTCCCGCAGCAGCCGCAGTAGCAGTAGGTGGCCGTCTACGCGTCAAGCTTGTGGTCTTGCGCAGGTTCTCGGGCACCATGTTGGTCCAGCCCAGCCGGCCAGCCAGCTGGCTCAAGTAGATGAGTATCAGGCGCTTGATGCGGTCCGCCCGCAGCCGGTACGCCTCCTCCTCGTACTCGGGTCGCGAAATGGCGCCCGAGTCGAGCAGCTCGTCGATATTGTCAAAGACGCCTAGCTCGTAGCCAAGGCCCATGGCTGCATTGAGTAGCATCCAGCACATACGGTCGCTGCGCCAGGCCGGCTCTAGCCAGCTCTCGACGCGGCGCCCGCCCATGCTTATGGCCGGAGGCTGTTGTTGGCCGCCAACCACATTGTCGTCGGACGGTAGGGAAGACTCATAGGTTGGCACCATGAGCTCGTCAATGGCCTCGGATGGTGGAAAATGCAAGGCTCTTGGATGCCATTCTGTCAGGATCATCAGCGACTCAATGGTTCCCAAAGTCCGCAGGCTGCCCTTGCGCAGGCCCCGCCAAGGCGCAGTGCTGGAAGTCTGCGACTCATCAGCACCGGAACCGCAGAAACCACCACCAAAGGCTTCCTGGCCCCATATCACACGCTCAATCATTCCTTGCAGGTAGGTCCATAATTGTTCGTGGATGGCATTGGCTCGGCACAGGCCTCCTGTGCCTGGAAGCTTGCGGTATCTGGACGCAATTGTCAAGAGGGTTACAGCCAGTATTGGCTCCTCGGTCAACAGTGTCAAGTGTGTGGCAGGGTCCTGGAATGTCGGAGGGGAAATAGGTGTCAGTGGAGACAAGTATTTATAATAACTATGCCATGTTAGCATCCGATGTTCGATTCACATAGCCATACCTTGACTTGTGAAGGGGGGGG